CAGACCCATTTGAATTCTACACAGAATGCTACATTATATAGCAATGTGGATGAGATTGTGGCTGTCATATGCTGTCAAATGTGGCTTCACCGAGCTCAACAGCTCTGGTCCAACCTGTGATATAAACGAAACGCTATTGGTTATTGGTGATCTTACAAGGGTAAATATAGAACTGGGGCCGGTTGCAGACTGGTCATAACGTTTTATATTCAGTAATGAAAAGGTAGATTGGTCTTATTTGTATTGGGAAAGTAAGACTGATAACCACTTGGCAACTACTAGTAAGTTTTGTATAGTATTTTCTTTACCCTTTAACAAACTATGTCTAAAAAGGGTAATATTTTATGTATTTGAGGCCTGAGATGTGGGAACGTTGAAGAGAGAGAGAGGGCAAACATTTTGCATTTTAGGTCAGCTTTGCCGTCTAATCAAGTACTTCGGTACCAAGTCGGTACTAAAAAAATGAAAACGTTACGTTACCAGATTTTTTTAAGTACCGGTGGTACCGAGTACCCGGTCAACCTGGTTCCCTTTCAAGGGAACTTCGAACTGCGTCCTCTAGGGGTCGCTATGGGGAACGCCTCGTCGTGACCCGTGTCTGAAGCATACATTGAAAAAACACCAACAACACGTTGGCCGGCGACAGCCATGACGTCACTACCGGTGCGACTATAATATAAATAGGCGCCGGGAGAACACATCATCCTCTTCTTCGTCTTCACTGACCGTTTTGTTTGAAGCGTGCATTTCCGTGGTAAGAGCAATCTTTATTCCTTCATTATGGCGAGCACTAGCAAGGCGTTTAAAGGATGTGTGCATCCGTATCGTCGTTGTTTGACATCTGATGACAAACACGATCTCTGTGTTTTTTGTTTGGGCGAGGAGCACGCACGCGATGTCCTCGAGGGGGCAATCTGCGTTCACTGCGAGCGTTTTCCAATGAAAAAGCTCCGCTGTCGTTTGTCTCTCTTTTCGGGGAAAGAGGGGCAGCCATCGGCTCCCTGTGGTTCAGGACCCGCCGCTGCTGAGGCCCCAATCCTCCTGCCCTGCGTATGATGAGTTTTGGAAGTTATGGATCGCGCCACGGCAAGGTTTGACTTGTAATGGAAGCGGGCCAAGAAAGTGACATCGCGAGGTCGTCTCGATGAGCGCTATCTTTCTGACCGTAACCCTCCAGCTCAGGTGAGCCTTCCTTTCTTCCTGATCTCCATAAAGAGATCGAGAAGGAATGGAAGAGGCCGTTTTCCTCACGCATCCATCGATTCCAGCATACGAGTTATGCCAACATCGAGGCGATGCGTGAAAACGGCTATGAGAAGATGCCCCCCGTAGAAGGGATGCTGGCTAGCTATCTCTCTATGGTGAGACATCCTCTCTTAAGACTCACTCCTTGCCATCTAAGCCCCTTCAGGATACATCTCGCTTGAATGACAGGGCATACGCAGCAGCAGGTCAGGCTGTCGCTTCGTTGTACACGATGGCGGTGCTCCACGAAGGTCCAGGTCTGAGCCCGAACAACACAGGGGTCCTGGCCCATCTCGGTCTGAGGATCAGAGACGGGCACAGAAGGCTAGTG